TGTGTCTCATATGATCAGCCTACTACTCCATTCAGTGCTGCAGACAATATTATCACTGCATCATTAATATGAAGTGATTTATTTAATTATCCCATCACACCCGTTTAAGTGGGAAAACAATTACCGTAATACTGTAATAGCGACGGGCCTCGATTTTCGGCTCACTGGGTTTCATCAAAGCAAGCATATTGTAACGTCCCTCAATAACCACACGTGAGACGTTAGCCGGTTTAGCCGGCGATTTATTTCTGATTGTAACACAGGCTACTGTGGGCCGTAGCCACGCCAAAACAACAAGAGCCTAACAGAAAAGTTCACTAGCCGCACGAGCGCCTCCATCTTGTTTTCAGAGGAGAAACACACATCTACCCACTCGCGCAGCGTCTCACTCACGAGGCGCGTTCACAGACTCTCACTGTGCATTCACACCAAAAGCGTCATGAGCGCCAGCGGTCGCTCAGGTCGCTGGCATCGCACTGCCTGGCAGAAGCTCCAGCAGGCGCTTGCAGCGGCCAAAGGGGCGGGGCCGGCTGCTGCAGATGTGTCCATCAAGGCTGACACGGCTGTTCACTTTACAAGGATGAACAAATATATCATTTATGTCTTCACTTTGTATTATCCAAGACTTTTATTACACAATTAAAATAACACTAATAAACACAGTCAATAGGCCTATAGCCTTTATGAGTCCTTTATAATTATGATTTTACTCTCCTGTTGGCATGTAGGACCACTGAGAAATGTAATTGGTGGTAAACAAGCGGGAGCTCATTAATCGCTCTTTCGGAAGCCTGTTTGCACTGCATCGGCGTATTTGCTGAGGAAACACAGGGCCCAGAGCCGCTCCAGGAGAGCCCAGACCTCCGTATCCGAATCCCGGTCTGCAATTGGCTGCTGCTTCGGCAACGGCGCTGCTCATTTGCATAAATTTCAGCTTCTCTCAACTTCTACTTGATGCTCTGGTCGCTGGCATCGCGCCGCTCGCTGCAGCCGACGCCCCTGATGCCCTTCGTAGCAAGCGTACATTGAAAATGAATGGCTGCCAACCACTTATGACGCTCATGACGCTTTTGGTGTGGATGCACAGTCAGGAAAACCAGCACTTAAACTTAACATTCACTAACACTCGGAAATATCAGTACTTCAACTTAACAGTTCAGAATCTGGGCTAAATCTTTCTTATTTATAACACACATAACAATAACGTGGTCCAGTTCATTACACTATTAAGCAGGCACACTATGCCGTCTGCTCTCAATGGTATTCGCTTTAAGATGAGCAACTTTTCCTCTTCGTCTTCATTCATAAAAATAAATAAACTCACGCGTGCATCATGCTGCTATCTTACCACACTTCCTGTATCATTTCTATCATAAGCCCTTCAGCGATTCTCCTGTGTAGGTTGTGCGGTGACCTTGGGTGTCTTAAAAGGCATCTCCAAATACAATGTATTATTATTTTTATTATCATTATATGCACAGTAATACAGAAGCAGCCATTGGCACATCTTGGGCTCCCTCCACCATGGTTGATTAACATGCACATTAAGAAAGGGGCAGTAAGCCTGCACCAGCAGGGCTTTTATTTAGTGAGATTTATTTCACCTAGTAGTGACGATGTTTTAACCACCATTCTGACACACTTTGTGGTCATTACGGCCGGGGCTCAATTATCTGGTTCGCTCTATTCTATTCTATTCTATTAAGAGGTCCTCGCAAGCAGCTCCTTCCTGGCGTTTTCTCAACCCTTGTGCTATTTTTTTAATTGCTATGTTTCCAGTCTGTCTGCATTTCAGTGGTATGCACACTGATCAGTTCCGGTAATCAGTTCCCAGTCATAAATGGTCTAACGTAATTCGAGCTGTCCTTCACAATTATATCCTTCACAGATTCACCATTCACGATGTCATTCATGAATCGGGCCCGGAACATCCCTCAATCCCCGTCATGCATCAGTATGCAGGGCAGCCTCTGATCAGCCATATCTTTTCCTGTTTTCACACACTTTAAGGACATGCATAGCGGTCGTCAACTTATTTGAGCTCAGCATGTAGCTGTGTGATTGCCCTCTCATGCACATGGCATCATCGCACCATGAAGCTCTGTTCGTATTTAGCGGTGATCCAGAGCATCATTCGTCGACTGCCTACAGGGGAAATGTAGCCGGTCAGCATACACTCGAAGATGCCCATGCAATCTCTAATCCTTTTAGTGACACTCGTCCAGTTCAGTGGTAGGGCTTTTATCATAGGACCCATTACATCTAATTGGGCAATAATCTTGATCCACTTATTGTTGAGATAGATGCATCTAGCTTTGCACTTCCCAATCAATTGGTAATATCTTTTAAGGCCGAGCAATATAGGGAGGAAGAAAATAAATAAAAAAAATAAACCCTTTAAAAAATAAATAAACAATAATAATAATAATAATAATAAAAATAAAATAAATAAATAACTAAAATAATAATAATAATTAAATAAATAAATAATAATAATAATAAATAAAAATAACTAAATAAAAAGTGATCAAGTTCAGTGATCAGGTTTGCAGGACCTCACGCTGCATGCTCTAACACCCCTGGTCTTCGGGACCTCATGCTGTATGCTCTGCCTCCCTTGATCTTCAGGACCTCATGCAAATGCCCCATTATGGCAGTGAGACCTCATGCTGTATGCCTCAACACCCTCGGTCTTCAGACCTCATGCAAATGCCCCATCATGATCTGTGGACCTCATGCTGTATGCCTCAACACCCTCGGTCTTTGGACCTCATGCAAATGCCCTCATGGTCTGTGGGACCTCATGCTGTATGCTCTAACACCCCTGGTCTTCGGGACCTCATGCAAATGCTCCATCATGGTCTGTGGGACCTCATGCCGCATGCACCAACATCAAGGTCATTGGACTGCCTCTGAATGCTCATCTGTGCAACACTTAATTTTCTTTGGTCAGAGGGACCCACTTAATTTCTGTTTTGTCATATCGGACGTAATTTATGTTTGGTCGTCGGACCTTATTTAATTTATCCATTTTATTTAAGTTGGTCTTCCGACCTTAATTTCTATTTGGTCAGGAGACCTTTTATTTCATTTCGGCCTTCCGACCTTTTATTTTGCTCTACTGATGGTCTTTAGGACTCTGGCTTGTGCACCCAGGTCTACAGGACCTCATGCTTATACACGGTAATTTCTTTTCAGCTGTCGGGCCATAATTTCTGTTTGTCACGATGACTTAATTTCTTTTTGGCCATAGGACCTTATTTTACTTTCACCATTTTATTTGAGTTGGTCTTATGATCTTAATTTTTGTTCGGTCTTATGACCTTTATTTATGTTTGGTCTTATTGATCTTTTATTATTTTCTGCACACATAGGCCCAGGTCATTAGGACCTCGCACCAGTCACGTTAATCTCAGTTTGGTCATTAGACCCTTAATTTCTGTTGCTGTCATGCTGAAAATTGCTGACTTTAATTTATGTTTGGTCGCCGGACCTTTGCTTTCTGTTTGCATTATATTAAGTTGGTCTTCTGACCTTAATTTCTGTTTGGTCTTACGATCTTTCATTTCTGTTGGTCTTCGTTGACCTTTTATTTTGTTCAACATATAGACACCATGGCCTCCAGATTCATGTCCATCCCTAGCCTCCCCTCTGCCATACGACCTTTTCCCCTGCCACTGCCATTTCACCCCTGGCTCCTTTTCGGTGGTTAGACCTCTTCAAGCCTCCCTCTGCCACTTTCATTTTCCATGCTTATCTCACATCCCCTGCTTTCTAGACAGCAACTCCCCAAATGCTGTCCCAGTCTCATCCCTACCATATGTTCTCATTAAGGTTAAACTTCCCCATTCAAAAGTCATGCAGGCCATCTAATCTGTTCATTCACATTACACTGCCTCCTCGTTTCAGTTTGTTTCATGTTTTCTTTTCTTTGCATTCCCTCCTAATCTTTATTTGCTTGTTTTGTTAGAAGCCTGTTGCCTCCTGGTAAGGTAAGGATTGCCTCTCGTCAAACGGTTTGTCGTCCCTCACTCTCTTTACACTGTTTTGGGGGGGGTTCCCTAATTGGCTACGGATCCATCACCCTCCTTATAGCTCACCATCTCGATGGGGTCTAATCGCCAAAGACTTTTCACATTTTCACATTTCATTCTCATGTGCACTTGTAATTAAATATTTTCTTTCCTAACCAAAAAACATGTCTCTCCTGATTGAAATGAAGCTCAGCGTAAGTTCAATCAGGAAGACCTTTCTGTGCTCATTCATTCACAATTCCCTCTCTCTCACTCCCACTGCTTCTTCCAATCAACTGCCTCCGGGCGTGCACTCTTCTAGCTGTCCTATCGTAATTAGCCACGACCTCCATCAGCCAATCAGGTTGTCACTACGAGATTTTAAATCTGTTCTCTCCTCTGCCGCTTTCAGCTGTCATTCTAGGCAGAATCACCGCCCCTCCTCCACCCCGTTCACCTCCAGCCGTCACATCCAAGGTCAAAGATAAACCCGAAGACTCATTCCTCTTCTCATCCGGATCATCAGCACCCATCCATCTGATCCTCATCTCTTCTTCATTTCCTCTACCACCACCAGCGTCTAGACCCCGGGGGGGGTTCCCTAATTGGCTACGGATCCATCACCCTCCTTATAGCTCACCATCTTGAAGGGGTCTAATCGCCAAAGACTTTTCACATTTTCACATTTCATTCTCATGTGCACTTGTAATTAAATATTTTCTTTCCTAACCAAAAAACGTGTCTCTCCTGATTGAAATGATACCTTCTTATTTCACTATAAAAACCTAACTAAGATGTCACCTGGCTGGAGAAAGATTACCAGGGAGCTGAAAGTTTCTGGTAAATGATCATCGCTAATAACAAGCTAAGCTACCTGCTGTTGGCTATATTGTTTGTCATTTCCATTAAATATCACAATATAAAACAAGTTTTCTCTTTTAAAAAGTACCTTTACAAAAGGAGAAAGATAGCAGGTAGGCTACTCACTCATCTTTTTAGTGGTTTCGTCTTCAGTCTGATCTTGAGCGCGCAGCTGATTCACTGTGGACAGAGAGCTCCAATGTTACGCAATGCTACATGGGCAAAGGTACTAACTGAAACAGTAACAATAGTGGGGCGGCATAGCTCAATATTTTTCTAGAATTGTTCAATTTTGTGATAAAAGCACCAAATTTGGCAGATAAGTTGAAAAATATATTAAGAACAAATCTGGATATTGGGGCATCAGAATCTCACCCCCCGGTGGCCAGAGCAGGCAATTGATTCCTAAAATATATATATTTTTAATAATTCTGTATACATACAATGTGGAAACCCCCCTTGTTTCCCTAGAAGGTAAACACCTGTGGGTACTTGGAACAATGTTGCATACATAGAATTCTAGTGTATTCTTTTTTAGAATAATAAATTATCAAAGAAATTCAACTTCCGCTTTTTCTTTTTTCATGATATATTACATTGTGATGGTGTTATACTGAACAATTAGCTATTTTGAATTATTCCTTCTTCTAGCCAACCTTGTGCTGTTTCCATAGAGGTGCAGAACTTGAAGTGAAAAATGAGTCCACAGTGAATAAAAATGTGAGAAGAGCACAAAACGGCCCCAAAATGACTTGGGGTTCAAAGGGTTAATAAAAAATGTAAATACACATTAAATTAAGAAAAATACAATTAGACACACACACAGTCACTCACACACATTTTTTGCAAAGCTACCCCCCCCCGCCACCCCCTCCCACCGCTAGCAAGCCAGCCAGCACGTGTCATGCCACAACCAGTAGAGCCAACTGTCTATCAAGGTACAGTATGTTAAACATTTTATTTGAAATGCAATAACTATCCATCCATCCATCCATTTTCATCCGCTTATCTGGGGCCGGGTCACGGGGGCAGCAGGCCGAGCAAAGCATCCCAGACATCCCTGTAGCAACTCATAATGTAATAATGGCTCATAATGTAATAACGTTTCATAATGTAATAACAGAAATGTAATAAAAGTTAATAATGTAATAATCAGCTCATAATGTAATAAAATCATGAGCGTATAACATAATAACAGCTTAGTGTATAATGTAATAATGTAATAACTTATTACATTATGAGCCTTACTGGCACCACTCATAATGTAATAACAGCTCTTAATGTAATAATGGCTCATATTGTGAGAAAAGTGTTGCATTATCATCCGTTTCTGGTCAAAAATGCACACACTGACAACGAGAGTGCACTTAAGGGCAGAGGTCTGTGTTTGTGTTTGACTATGATTTGTTTATAGATGGCGCGACAGTAACCAACTCAAAAGCTGGCTGGAGAAGAGGGTGGATTAGGGAAGAAGGAGTCCTTGACTGTCATCCCAACCCGCAGTTTAAAAGAGCATTTCCTTTGTATACTATTGCTACAATAAATGCAGGACACAATAACTTCTACAATAAAAACACATTTAAGATCAGTCTTAAATTGGTCTTATTTTCTCAAATAAGTAAGTGAACACTCTCTCCTTCCATACAACCTAGTGAAGACCTTCCAGTCAAAATGATGCTGTTATTTTATTATTGGTCTTAATGCCAATTTAATAAAGACTTTTAATAAGCATTGTTTACCTACTACTTAGGTTAAATACATGATAGCAGCGTAACATATTCATTCAATTTACTTTATTTTGGAACTTGTGCAAGAATGAGAAGAGCGTTTTAGAACCATGTAATAACAATGGACCAGCTCAAAAGTTCTTAAAATGTAAACACAGCCTGTCAGGACAACCAAGTAAAAACATAAGTCCAAATAAATTTAACTAAACAATATGCATAAATAATACATAACCAACAAAAATCAAGTCCAGGGGGCTCCATTTGTCAGTGACTGTGCCAGTGTTCACTCAGATCAAGGCTTAATGAGTGAATGAAAAAAAAGAAAAGAAAACTTTACTTCTTCCAATCAATGTCTTTAATATGGACCCATCCAAAGGATATATGTTTAGTCACGATCCAGGCTGTAATCCACCTGGCATTTTGGCTGAAGAGCTGCCTGATATTGGATGCAAGGCCACTATTGCATCCAGCCACTCTGTATAACCCACTAATACTTAAGCAGCAGTCTTCATCCATCGTAATATTTAAACTTTCCACCAACTGCTTACCTGCAACAATCAAACAGTGGAAGTGAGCATGGCATTCTCAAAGGCCCAAAATACCTAACACGGGTGCCACCTAGTGGCTCAACTTTATACAGCTTATATAATAAAATGTTAGAATGCAATTACGATTAAATAATTCTTGGTTTCACTAATTTAGTTTACTATGCGCTGAAACCTATGCCGTCTGCTTTATTTGCACCTTTAAGATGTAAAAATGATGATAATGCAGCAGTTTTCTCACAATATGAGCCATTATTACATTATGAACTGTTATTACATTATGAGCAACGCCAGGAAGGCTCATAATGTAATAGGTTATTACGTTATTACATTATGCACAAAGCCGTTATTACGTTATGTGTTCATGATTTTATTACATTATGAGCCGATTATTACATTATGAACTTTTATTACATTTAAGTTACTACATTATGAGCTGTTATTACATTATGAGCTGCAACAATCCCTCTCCCCAGCAACACTTTCCAGCTCCTCCTGGAGGGCCCCATGGCGTCCCCAGGCCAGACGAGATATGTAATCCCTCCAGCATGTTCTGGGTCTGCCACAGGGCCTCCTACCAGTGGGACGTGCCCGGGACACCTCCAGTGGGAGCTGCCCAGGAGGATCCTGATCAGATGCCCGAACCACCTCAACTGAACCCTTTTGATGCGAAAGAGCAGCAGCTCCACTCCGAGCTCCCTCTGGATGTCCAAGCTCCACACCCTATCTCTAAGGCTGAGCCTAGCCACCCCACAGAGGAAACTCATTTCCACCACTTGTATCCGCAATACCAGTTTCCGACTGAGAACCATGGCCTCAGACTTGGAGGTGCTCACTCTCATCTCAACTGCTTCACACTAGGCTGCAAAATGCTCCAGTGCATGCTGGAGGTCACGGGGTGATGGGTCTAACAGAACCACATCATCTGCAAAAAGCAGGGATGCAATTTGGAGATCCCCAAACCGGACCCCTTCCTCCCCCCGGCTGCGCCTCGAGATCCTGCCCATGAAGATCACAAACAGGATTGGTGACAAGGGACAACCTTGGCGGAGGCCAAGACCCACCGAGAACGTGGTTGACTTCACACCGAGTATACGGACACACTTTGGTCATACAGGGACTGGATGGCTCATTAGCAGCGAGCCTGGAACCCCATACTCCCGCAGTACCCCCCACAAGACCCCCGAAGGGATGCGGTTGTTGAGATTCACAGGACCACAGACGATTTATCATTTGGTAAAATCATCACTGGACATTTAAAGGCTTTTTCCTCTGCATGCTCTTTGTCTTTCAAACAAAGAGAGCTAAGTGACACCCATCTCCACAGGAGGTCTCACCTCACAACTCCAACTGTGGAGCAGCTCACACCTCTTTCCGGCTGGGCCTGGAACAGCCCAGAGGCCCAGACCCTTGCTCCATAGCCCCAAACCACTAAAGTTGCAGCCATTTTTAACTCTGTCTGTTAATCAGCCCTAAACCTAAACTAGATTATAATTCATTTGAAAGCCTCATTCTTAGTCTTTTACATCCGACCTGGAAAACCTCGCAGCCACTTTTATTTGTTATAGCGTACCGTGCTCCTGGCCCGTATTCTGAATTTGTATCTGAATTCTCAGAGTTTTTATCCAATTGTAGGTGATTTTAACATTCATGTCGACGTTGATAATGACTCCCTGGCTACCGCGTTTATCTCATTATTAGACTCCATTGGCTTCAGTCAGGGTGTACATGAACCCACTCACTGTTTTAACCATACCCTCGATCTAGTTCTGACGTATGGAATTGAAATTGATAACCTAACAGTCTTTCCACAGAATCCCTCGCTATCGGAT